GGAACGATTAAAAAGAAAAAACACCCCAAAAAGTCACCTTTTTTATAGGAATGTCTTTAAAATGTAAAATTTTGTTTTCGTCAAGTTTTTCATCATGCTATGCTTTTTTTAGCGATCTATGGAAAATTTTTGGAATGTCTGTATGGAAAAACATGGATATTAGAGAATTAAGCAAAATTAAATGTCCAGTGCTGTTGACCTATAATCAAAAGGAAAACCTTCAAATATTAAAGTACTAACCAATCAATTATTGTGACCCAAAGGTCAGACATTTGTGACCAAAAATGCAACAGTATCTAAACTTGCATATGTTGAAATGTGTAATCCAAAGTTAAACACTTAAAGTTAAAATTACCTTAATAATAAATAATTAAGTTCTAAAAATTATTCAACATTCAAAACTTGTTGAAAATTAAGAATGTGTAGCCTGAAAGCCACGTTTAACAATCAACTTGAATAAAAACAAGATATGTACATCACTAGTTTTGCAGTTTTAAGTGCCCAAGTAGTAAACCAAATATAATGCCTATTACAAAACTAGTAGGCTTATAGTAATTAATTCAGGTCTTATAAAAAGCAGTTTTTATTATGAAAGGAGGCCAACAGTAAAATGCCCAAGAAAGAGCATTGTGATTCAGGTTTTCCAGCAAATGCCAAAAAGTCCCTTCTCAATTACCCCCTCAGCAAATTATAAACTTAGTCTGTCAAAAAAAAAAAAAAAAAAAAATATGCAGCATAATAAATCAAAGAAAATTGTTATTCTTTTCTTCATTTAAGATTTTAAAATACTTATAGGTATATAAATATCTTCATTAAATATTGGAACTTACAAGCAGTTTTTTCCAAGCAACTTAATATTTTGCTTAACTGGAGTGATTCCACATTATTAATGATTATTAAAAAATAAAAATTTGCAGTAAATAAATTCAGTAAATTTAAATTCACAAGACAACATGATGCTTATTTATTGTGACCGAATTATTTGAATACTTCGATTCTTGAAATAAAAAGTACTCGTCATGCGCATAGCAAAAAGAAAAAAATATGTAAAAAAAGAATAATAATCTAAGAATAAAAAGTTATTAAAAACTGTATTTAAACAGAAAGATGAATACTCTTTTTAAGACTAAGTAAGATGCAACAACTTTCAATTTCTTTTTATCTTTTATACAAATTTGTGCAATCCTAAGTTTTGGAAAAATAATGATGTATGATGCGCGTATCAACTCCAATATTGATGGATATATCATCCTTTAAAATTAAAAATAATTTCTAAATTGATCAATACAGCTTTGCGGTCGTTGATTTAATTGCTGTGATTGGAGCGATTAAAATACATCACTGCTTTCATTTTGTAATGGTGTGAATGCATCTTAAAAAGTAGACAAACTCGCAAATTTTAGAATTGTTCAACGAGTTTACAGACAGATATTCCATTAATGGGCACCGGATTGCGTCTTGACCCGGCATTCTCAAGAGTAAATGCTAGAATAAAATCATTTATCAACTTTTTACAGTTTGGATTTTCGAAATTTAAAAAACACAAAATTTTACTTTCTTTACAAGAAAGTAAAATATTTTCGCCTCAAGGTTGAATTCTTCAACAGCACATTGGTACACACGCGGTTGTAATGAGGTCACTATAATTTTTCAACTTTTCTTTGGGTTTAGTGCCGAAAAGTTCTTTAAAAATTAAAAACGTCTGTGGAAAAAGTGTATTGATTTAAAAGTTAATGCAACATAATATCGAAATAGAAATTCTACGAATAATTACGATGCTGCAACTACAGTTTTTCCTATGCTTCAATAGAGAAAATGTAACTAAAAACGCATCAACTCAAGTTTACGCTGTTTTCTACATTGAGAAAGTGGACGGACGACACTGCGTAATAGCAAGTTTCCATATGTTGAATGTCTAAGATTTTAATTTTAGTCATTAATACCACGACTAACAACACATTCTGAATTTTCACAAGATCTGCTAGGGGGAAAAATGCGTCGCACTAAAAATCAAAAGTAATTATTATTCGGTATTCCTGCGATTCGACAACAGAACATGAAATTTTCTTAAGTCAAATTCCTTGTTAACACATTTTCCGCATTAACTTTTTTAAAGCAACCAATCGCGCAAGTAAAGATTTTGAAATGTTTAGTGCGCACTAAATAATATCGATAGTTTAGATTTATCGAACTCCATCAAAGCACATTAAGAGAACGATCTCTCGGGTCCTCGAAGATGGCTATCCTTAGCTGTTACGATTTTATTTATTTCTAATGCGCAAATAAAAATGAATTCTTTCGCTCAATAAATCAGCAGAAACTAACATTTTTAACTTATAAATCGCTGTAACCCAGTTCATGAACAAAATAATTTAAACTATTATTAGTGACAAAAATATTTTTTTCTTTAATTAAAGAAAAGAAAAAGAAATCAACGGCGAGCATATGCCAAAACAATAAAATAAAAGCGAAACGCCGACATTATTGCCATAGACGAGTGTCGTCACCTTCTTCATCGTATGTCGGCTTCTTGAGAATTCTTCACTCCTCCATTTGCCGGGAAAACCCACGTGCTTACCAAACGAAGAGGAGGAAAAGTTAAGAGAAACATCCGGCTAAGCCCTAAGATAACCCCCATTAAATGAACGCTAACAAACAAGTAATAATCTATATATCTCCTTGATTTTAGTTATATTTCACAAGTCACTAAAAGTTTTGAGGAGTTTATAAAAGAGGGAGGGCAGGCACCAAAGACATGATGTCAAAAAGACTGCATAAAAAAAAGAAAAGGCAAACTTGTCCTAAGAGACAATGTTTTATTTTTAAATACTTTTTTTGCCGTAGTGGTTTAGATTTGAATTTGATTAGCCATGGAAAAAGCAACGCACGCCCTAACTTGCAAAAAGAAAATTTAAATAAAAATGAAACCTTAAACAGAAACTCAACCCATTACCATAATGCTCCACTGAAATGAAATTAACAACGGGAAGGATATAATTGAATTTCACTTTTTGATACATCATGCAGACAATCAACTTAAAAATTTCACGAGTTTCACTAATTTCAGACAATTACCAGCAAGTTTTCTAGATGGCTTTGTCAACTACAATGCAGAATAAAAGTTTTCGAAAATATTTTTAAATTCATAGCAAATTTTATTATTTAATAAAATTTATTTCCTTGACAAGAAATAACATTTATGTCCAACGACTAACCAGGCAATCCTGTTGCTGACGGCCCACATTTTATACTTTTTTGTCATTAAAAAAAAAAAAAATTAGTTTTTCTCAACTCATTCAAATCGACAGGTTTTTTTTGGCTAAATTTCACCAATGCAAAAGTAAATTTATTAAAATTCATTAAAAAATAGTGTACAGAATTAATTTTAGCTGGATCTATTTCAACCTTTAATTGAAAATTGTATAATATATGAAGTGACAAAAGAAATACCAGCTAAAAAATCTAAATAAAATAAACTCCTTGTTTCCAACAAAGTCAAACACGTTAATACACGTTGTTGTCGTCGTTTGTTCATTTATGTAAGAAACGCTTCAGAGATAATGTCCACTCGATCGTTTAAAGTAGAAAAAAAATCTAAGTTTAATAAAGTGAGAATTTCTAACCCTGAATTCAAGTCGTGGGTAAAATTGAAAAATAAAAAATAAATATTTACTTTAGTTTACAGTAAACCTTTGACTTTTACTTTTTCATTATTTTTCAATTGTTTATGCACGGTTAGATAGTAAAAAAGTCTAACAAAAAAAAAATTATTACCACATACTCCATCATTGTCAGTCTTTCTTATTTAATCTGGAACTTTGGGTAATGGAATCTCCATAACTGAGATTACAGAAACTAGTTAAAAGCAGAGAAAAAAATCGTCCAGAAGAGACATTTTCTTTGTTTTCAGTACAAAATTACGATGTCACATTACAAAACACGCTTGTGACTTCAGTTTAAACAGAATTCAGAATCCCCCCCGCAAAAAAGTCAGCCTAGAGAGTTTATTCTAGCATAGTTTATTTTCAGACAGAACAAATGGCTCTTTCATTGAAAATTTGGATTATTATCTCAATATGAGTTAGAGAGAAAAAACGATCTAGAAATAAATACGAATCGCTGTAATCGATTTGTACAGCAAAAAGGTGGACACTGGACACATGTTCAGTTAAGAAGAAGTGTACTGTAGATGGCTAAAAATAAAATAGATCCACCAAGTAAAGAAATGGGTTATTTTAGATTTTATTGGTTAACCGGAGAAAAGCATGAGCAACGAAAATCGAAATAGAAAAAACAACAGCAAGAGCGGCAATTTTCTTTCGGTATAAAAAGGAGGGGGATCAAATACTAAAACTAATCACAGATTAATAATCGGTCGGAAAGAGATATGCCATAAAGACTTTTACAAGAATCATATTAAAGATTTAATAATTGTAAACTCTCTACAGCATTATAAACTTCTATTGTGATATTAAAATCGCAATCGATTGTTTTTTTTCTAACTAAAAAGGTACAAAAATAAAGCAATACGAAACGTTCATTAAATAGAATAAAAATCCTCATCAAAAAATTGACAGTAATTTCGTATAGAGAACAAAGTAGGAAAATATTTCTATTATCTTTTTTTTTTTACATAGATTTTCTTTAAACTTTTGAACATGTTACAAGTTATGAAAATGACTACATTTTTTTTAAATCAAGAATCATCAATTTATTGAAATTATGGCGATTCAATTTTTTAAAATTACTCTAAAACGAAACATGCTGAAGGATTTGAGGTCGGAGATGATATATTTGCAGCGAGAGTACTCAAGTTCAAACAGTAGAAAACAAAGACTCAAAGAGAAAATGATTTTAACTCTGAAAATAATAAATACTTAAAAAATACATTTATTATATTTTCCCCTCTTCACTCAAGCTAAAAAAAATGACATTTTTTAAAAACGTGTTTTGGTCCTTCCAAAATCTGGCCGCCTTTTGTCATCTTTTTTATTCCTTACCTCATGGAGTTGTTGCTCTGCTTGTTCCCGACGGGCCGGGTCCAAGGTAGATTGTAACACTTCTACAAGCTCGTTTATGTCCATGATGTTTACTTTTTGGTTACTTTCTTGGACTGTAGATCGGGAAAAAACAGTTGTCGATCCAATAAATCAAAGAGTCACCCAACGGGGACTTGACCAAAAATTCCAGAATCGCGTGTTCTGCCCTAGACGCGCCAACACGGACGCTTAATGCGCAGGCGCAAAAGGAAGTTGTCATACAGGAAAAGGAAGTAGATTAAAAAATTCCGACTCAATTGAGAACACGTGATACCTGTAAAATTACTTAAAAAAAAAAAATTAAGTTATCTTAAAACAAAAGTATTTTTTTATATATTAAATAATGAAATTAAAATATTATGTTAAAGAGATTTCTACTAAGTTTGTTTTTAATTCGGTAAAATTGTTTAAGAAATAAAAGTATAAAACTGTTATGATGCCTAGTATTTATTACGGACCGCTAGTACCAGGTGTCGTTTTCATGAAATTAGTCATGATAAAAAATTTTTTTTACTTGATATTTAAATTGAATGACTTGCAAATGTATTATATAACGCACAAATAACAATGCTTTTGAAAATTATCAAATAAAAATGTTTGTAGAACGTTTGGTGGTAAAAATAAAAACAGTTATTACGCAAAAAACATTTCAGGTGCAAACGCATTTTTGCATTATGCGTAAAAAAAACTAAGGATCATAAAAACTTGTATTTTTTTAAATAACCGTGATGAAAAAGTGTGTAAGAGAGAGTTTCTTTTAAAATATACTATTTTTGTAAGTATAATTTTTTGGCTTCAGCCAGTTAAACAAAAACATTGAAAGTTAATGTTTATTGTTTAGTTGTAAAAGTTTGGTAAGAAAAAATTAAAAATGAATGACTACAACATTTTTTCTTTTTCTCTTTTTATGCAAGTCATATGAGAAGTGTAAAACAATTCAAACCCTTCGTAAAAACAAATTACGGATTTTCTTATTTTATTATATATTTGAGTGATAGGGATTTTTAAACTTTTGGAAAATTTTTAGTAACCGCGTATAAATGATAAAATTATCCCCGCAAAACTGCAAAATGTCATTGTCACAAAAGAAGGAAATTATTAATTTTTTTCTTGCAATTCAAATCTTTTTTAGACTCAGTATTTTAGCTTAATTGGAAAAAAAATCAAAATTATATTTTAAATTTGTAATTTAGGTTTTTCTTTAACCGAAAAATATTTTAGAAAATAATTTATTGTAAATAAAAGGATTTTTTAGATTTAATTACTGACCAAAAATTTTAAAACCTGTGCTATTTTTAAACATTATAATAATTTATTAAACAATTGAATAATACCTATTTTCTTAACGTTTCAAATCCACAAAAAATGTACTTGATTAACTGCATAAATACATTTTAATTTTAGGTCTCATGAAAATAAATAGTGAATACATACATTTCTTAGAAGATTTAAAAAGAAAGCATCAAAATAATTTTTACATATAAATTTTTCAACATAAAACTTTTGTTTCAGTAATCATTTTTTTTTATTATTGCAGTATAAGGGTAAGATTCAAAAGAATAAACTTTTCTTAAAACATTGAATTTCATATCTTATTACTTTTTTTAAGTCAGGGACGGCGCTAGGGTCTCTCCTCTCACCCTCGAAACTTTGATACGCCCCCTCCCCTCGACTACATGTCGATTTCAAAGTTTCACAACCTGAGGGATACAACCCCTCGAAGAAAAGTTGGAAGAGCAGCGATTTTTTTAAATTACCAAAAAAAACTCAGTGAATTATCCAATTTAAATAAAAATTTCAGCATATATTCATTATTTACTTTTATAATGAATAGGCTTTTCTTTTTTATTTTTAAAAAATCTGAGAAAATGTTATTCTTTTGTAATTACCACCAATTTGCATGACTAACTAAATTTTACATTTTTATTATTTTTTAAGCGATCATTTTCTCGGTTTTTAATATCTATCTAGAAATGTAAAAAATAGGGACTAGAAATTTTATTTTAATTACTAGCCGTGGACTTCTGGTTACTAATTAGTAAAAAAAAAAAAATCAGAAATCTGGATGATCTCGGAATAAAAAATGATTTTATCAAGATATTACCCTCTTAATTGATTTAAAAAAAAATTTTTTAAAAACTGTTCAGGAAGAAAATTACAATTTAAAAAAATAAGCGCTACTGAAATTAGTACTTCTGCCTAACCCCCCCCCCCCCGGCCAGTAGGCATAGGGCCCTCCACGCAGTTGAGAGGTTCAGGGTAATAAGCACTGGCCCTACTGTCGATTATTATAGTTGATGATTGACAATATAACTTAAGTAGAAAAAAGTAAAAAGTACAAAAAGCAAAAAAATACTGCTAAAACTTGCCCTTTGGGGCTCCAACCTCATCAGGGGTTTCTGTGTAGTACACATGCTGCACCATCATACAGAGACAGTGAAGTAAAGGATAGCAGCTTGGACTGAGGAATCAGAGGGCCAAGTTCAAATTCCAGTTGAATCCATTACATTAACTTACATGCTAATACCCTTGGGGAAGGTATGAATCCTCCTCTTCTCCCCACCAGCTATGGGTAAATAACAGTACAGACCAGGTTCTCTAGCCTTTGATGGCAACTGGTCTACTGCAGAAAGAAATAGCAACCTATTATGGGGAAAAAATCTGCCTCGTCATTCATGTGTCAAAAGATACACTATCGCCTAAGTGTGTATCACGCATGGCACATAACTGACTGACAATATAACATCAGTTTAATATTTTTTTAAAATGGCAGATGGCCATAAAACTGTACTGAAAAAAAATGACAGAGGCCACAATAGGCCCCCAAAACATGCTCCCACCCAACTCTGGGGTTTCGGGGATAGATATGCCGGCCCTGCTTTAAATGCTAGCATTAAAAAGAACCTGTTGTTAGTAATTCAGTATCTATATTTTGCAGAGACTGCAATAATGCATATCTAAAAGATTTTATGCATATAAATTTTTAATAAACAGTCAAGATTTATTTTGGTGTTTTTTTTTACATCAGTTCAGTGCATGTTGTTTTACAAATTTTGAAGCACAAATTTTATTTGAGTCATTCTTATTAATCATCTGGCTTCATTACAGTGGTTCTTTTACAACATCAAATTAATCAAGTCATTTTTATTAATCACCTGGCTTCATTATAACAGTTTTTTATTTAAAGAATACATGGTAGGAACTTTCTTCTATTAATAAATGTTTCATAAAACACTACTCTCAAAAGAAAGTGTAATAAACAAACCTAGTCTACTGTATTCATTTTTTTATTTACCCTTTAATTATTTTTATATAATTCTATGTTTCTTTTTCATTATATAAATTTTCATATACCAGCTCTTGTATCAAACTGCATTTTCTTGTACTGAAATCTATTTAATGAATATTCTCCTGGACTTAAACATCAGCCAATCAGTTTTCATATTAATTTAACCAATCAAAAAGTATGAGCAAAAAATTCTGCTCAAAATAAAAATTTCTTTGTTTTCTATATCATCTTTTCAAATATATAGAGGTGTGGCCATCATGTGGCCTAGACTATATATGCACCAAATTCAAAATCCCATCCTCTTTTTCTTCTACCACAATACTCAGGAGGTGCAAACCACTGCTGATCCTGCATTACAAGCCTGGTCAATAGAAATTAATACTACCTAAAGAAGCTAACCAAGGATTGAAAGAGACTTCTTGTTCAACAAGGGTTGTACACAAGATACCCAAACACCTTTCTCCTAAATTAAGTCCACAGATTCACATTGTCTGCAACCGCTTCTTTTTTCTTTAATTCTCTTTTTCTATTTGGATATTAAATAAATTTAAATAGTACCAGTTGTTTTGTTTTTTCTCTTCAAAAGTTGTCAACCAGTTAGTTCCAGTTCACAAAACTTGCACTAACCCCCAGCAAACTTAGGGCTGTATCTTGACATATCATCATGTATATAATCACCACAATAGCATCAAAAAATGTTTTTCAGCACAAAAATATAGCACAAAAGAAAATATATTACAGTATAAAATTTTATGAAAATTTATTCCATAAAATAAAAATAATAAAGGTTTGGCTGTGGAAAAGATATACATTTTGTCATCAACAGTGTCTAAATTCAAATGTCTGCATTTTGAACACAGAAAAGTCCTATTTACAGACCAGCTGGAGAGAAAGGTTTCTTTATGATGGTCTGCAAATCAACACAAAAGAAAAGAAAAAAGGGTTCTTTTTCAAAAACATAGATTTTTTTAAGGTTCTCTGTAGAAAACTTTGGCTAATAATTGTTTCAGATTTATTCATGCACTCATAAAAATATCTTCACATTTATATATTTGTTTATAAACAATTCATAATACCAGTGCATTTGAAATTTGCATTTTTTTTTAAATGTGCACTTTTTATGTTAGCAAATGTAATACATATGCATGCATGAAATTGCACATATATATCTAAATGCAATATGCCATAAATCAACATCTGTTATTGAAAAAGTATTGGAAAATGAAAAGAATATCTCATACTGTTTTTTTACAAATACTAGTTCTTGATAGCACATAAATGCTACATTACTTATACCCAAATATCTAATACACACACAAAATCCACTAACACAAACATACAAAATATTTTTTTTAATTAATTCACCCTAAGCAAGCTTAAATACTAATGCAATACTTAAATGCTAGTATGAACATAAATATGTTAAAATAAACTAACAACTTACTAAGATAATACATCTTGTGAACAGATTAAGAGTGAAACACTAAACAGATTATAAAAATGATTTAAAAAAATATTTTACTGAAAGACTCAGGCCCATATAACCAAGATCTTTTTCATGCAAGTTAATAGTTGCATATTATTAGAATGTTGCCTGTGCTTGATTCAAAAACCATACGACTCGTACAGCAATCACTATCACTTGACTTAAAATATTTTTGCCCTTCCTTGCCTTTAAAGGAGTGCCCTTTGCTGTGCTGATGTTGCTACATGCCTTAATTCTTGCCTATCTCACACTGCAAATTTTTTTCTAAGC